TCCTGTGGGCTTTCACACCCAGCAAAGGAGATTACATCCTTATCAGCTTCAACACTCCTCAAAACGTTAAAAGGTGAGAGCAGCACGCAAGTCAGATCAGTTTAGGGGTGGCCCCCTGTTTCCCATTAGTCCAAATAAAGGAGGTGTGGCCTTTGTCTATGTTAGTACAGTGAAGGAGGTGTGGCCTTTGTCTGTATCAGTACAGTGAAGGAGATGTGGCCTTTGTCTGTATCAGTACAGTGAAGGAGGTGTGGCCTTTGTGCTATTCAGTACAGTGACGGAGGTGTGGCCTTTGTCTATGTTAGTACAGTGAAGGAGATGTGGCCTTTGTCTGTATCAGTACAGTGAAGGAGGTGTGGCCTTTGTGCTATTCAGTACAGTGAAGGAGGTGTGGCCTTTGTGCTATTCAGTACAGTGAAGGAGGTGTGGCCTTTGTCTGTATCAGTACAGTGAAGGAGGTGTGGCCTTTGTCTGTATCAGTACAGTGAAGGAGGTGTGGCTTTTGTCTGTATCAGTACAGTGAAGGAGGTGTGGCTTTTGTCTGTATCAGTACAGTGAAGGAGGTGTGGCTTTTTTGAAACACCATTTCACCAGCAGCACTAAATCATATCATATTGAATCATTGGCTGCTTTCATGCAGCAGATTGTGGTTATCTGTATAGATAATGGAAATAGACTGTGCAGTTGTAGTTACTTGAAAAGATGTAGTTATATGAGTCTGGCATACAGAACATCTTCTAACACACTCTATCACTTTATTTGAAGGTTCTAAGCTTTTTTTCTTGAATAACAGCTAAAGTGAGTTGCAGTTAATCAGTTAATAGAGCTCACTGTGTATTGCTGCATGGTCACAAGAAGTCTTGAGTAATTCCAAAATAATAGCAATATGGTTCTCTTTCGGTAGATCTGATGTAAGTGGTCCAGGAAGAAGTTTTCATGATGCATAGATTAGAATACATAATAAATTTCGGTATAATATAGAATAGTAAGAAGTACTTAATATTCTTAAATAGACTTAAAAAGACCTCTTAGAGAGTGTGAGGCTCTTATGCCATTGAGGAATAAAAACACTACTTCTCAAAGTCACTGATGAACTGTGTTTGCATTTTTAACATGACCCTGTCCAACAGTAATCATCATCATTTTACACTCATTTGCATTTTTGCAAACCTGCATGATGTAAATGTCTTCCAAGATCTAAAATATGCTTTTTTTTAAAACACATCATCTCTAAGGTACCTTATGGGTGATTCATTTTGCTAACCCTAGGTTCTGCATTTTTTATTATAGGCTAATGTATATCAAGTCAAGTCAAGTGGCTTTTATTGTCATTTCAAACATATACAGCTAGTTAGTACACAGTGAAACAAAACAACGTTCCTCCAGGACCATGGTGCTACATAAAAACAACACAGAACTACAAGAGACTACATATTTTTACATAAAGTGCACATGCAGACATGTGTAGACAGCACAAGACAGTACAATAACTACCAAAACAGGACAATGGGCACAGTAAGATACAGTGTAGCGCCGACTAGTACACAGTTCTAATAAGAAAGAATCAGATGACAGTAGTGCAAAAGTGTAACAATATAAGTTGCTATAAATGTAAACATTAGGGGTAGAGAGTATAAAAAATTATATACAGTATTTTTTTTAAATATATATGTATAGATATATATAAATACATAGTCCAGAGGTGTTAGGGAGCAGCTTGTCACACTGATAAATTTGCTTATCCACTTTCAAAATTGTACAGAGTCCAGGATCTTTTAAAGCACTGTCTGTGCAAAATGTGTTCCTTTACAGATTGCACATTAAGCACATTTGAGTTCGCCTCCATGACCTCTCTTTTATAAATCACAATACGAAACTGAGGGAAAACAATGAGACGATCATAGAGGAAATGCTTCAGCATTTAAGTCAGCTGTTTTGGAAGCAGATTTTTAAATTCCTTTTAATTCTTCTAAGTGTGTCTCTATGGCCTGGGTCTGTGTCCCAAAGAGCGACAGAGTGAACATACAGTAAAGCCTAGCACCCGTGTAAATTTCCTCAGCAGACTCCTCAGAGTCGTTTACTGAAACAAGTGTGTGTCTTACGGTAAACCAGAGATCAGACCTTTCTTATGACATTTCAACTGAAAACAAGAGGAAACACAAAAGGGGCGTCCCATGGGTAGTGTTTCTCTTGGCAGATCACAATCACCCAGTAGTGAAAGTGTAAAACAGTGATATTCGTTATGTACAGGATGTACCCTGCTAGCAACAGCAGAAATCAGTGTGGGTTTCTCAGAGAATGTTTCTGACATTAAGCATTTTATATCTAACCACTTATGCATATGTCTGTAGTAATTTAAACCCCAGTATATAACTCCAGTATACACAGAGGCCATGATTTACTAAAGGTTTTAGTGAGAATTTGAAAACAAATTAAAAAAAAAAAACATTCAAGCTGATTTTAGAAAAGGATTGTCCATTTTGCATGTTAATGAACATGCAATTTGGGGCGTATGAACCTAAAAATGCAAAATGCAAGGAGGCATTGATGCAAATAGATTAATTTTGTACCTGCTGTGTGATTTACAGCCAAAACGTCACCTTGTATTTAAATAATATGACCAAATGGCAGGTATTAAATTAGCATAAACATGGATCTGCTATCTGAGGACAAAATAAAAACCATAGTTTGTTAAAGTTTTTCTAAATTATGTTTAAGAAGCTGTAAACAATGGAAAAGTGTCTCAAACTTCTGGTTTAACAAGATGTTATTTAAAATGTAGGGACGTTTAAAAATGTTATTGTTATTAAATATTATAGCAATATGTTAAATATTAAAATTTGTGTGTTAAATATTTCATTGATAAGAATTCCCCAAACGTGTATCACTTTGTGTATGTATCACCTTGTGTATGTTTCTATATTAGCTGTATCTAAACTATTGCATACTATATTTGTAGGATCCTGTAAACAACATCTTTATAAATGAGGAAGTTGTAGTGGCATTTTTTCAGTTTGGTCTTTACCCTTACTCAAAATAACTTTCCCTTTTTCTTGTGAATTCGTGGCAGCTGGTATTATTTCCTGTGTTGACTCTTTATTTGATATTATGCTGTTAGACTGCAGAAAATGATGAAATAAGCTAAATTATCTGCCAGTAAAATAAGAATTAAAGCTTGAAGTAAAAATGAGTAAAAAAAATCTAGAAATATATATATTATATTATATTATATTATATTATATTTGGCTAATAGAGAAAAATAATAATTGAACTTGCCTATATTCATGATATGGTTAGCTGTTGGGGTGGATTTATGCATATCATTTAGTTTATTTTTTAAAATATGTATCAGAAAAATTCATTTGGTTGGATTTGTATTTGGTATTCTGTTGCTGGCAGAGTGTATTTTCACATGTTTTCACATGGTCACACAGCTAAGACCAGGCTTACTTGCGTCGGAGTAATTTGCTTGGTGCAACTTTTTTAATAATTGGTCTTATCTATGATCTGTTTATCAGTTAAGACCTGTTGGTGGACTCAAAAACGTTATAAATACATTATTACTGCAGAACCCTGACCACTGAACTCTTTCTGTCACATTTAATATTTCATCTTGTTTTGTGTGTGTGTGTGTGTGTGTGTGTGTGTGTGTGTGTGTGTGTGGTGTGTCTAGGTACCGCTTCAGAAGTGGAAATATTGAGGCGAATGGAGATAGGTTTTACAACACCACCGTCCAGGTGCTGCCTCGTGACGTATGTAGCACTCGATAAACACACTCTATCCACTATCTCACTATCTTATCATGCTCTCTCTGTGTGTGTGTGTGTGTGTGTGGGCAGGTTTTTTAGGTGGGGACCAAATACCTCTTTGACATTGAGGTTAGCTTTTAAGTGTAGCAGAGCATTAATTAGCTGCATTAATAATTATGTCAATAGAAGGTTCTCACAAGGACAGTAAGTGTGTGCATGTGTGTGTGTGTGTGTGTGTGTGTGTGTGTGTATGTGTGTGTTGGCTTATTACACTAGAGTGCAATTTCCTCCCACACAGAGAGAGACACAAACCTATGGCAAGTCTGTGGTTTCAGGACGCTTCCTGTTAGTTCTGGGTTTACTGAAGAGATGCTGTAGAACACATAGAGCGACCTTTCATTTATTCTTTCAGTTACAGCCCATGCTCTGCAGCATTAATCAGAGCTGCTGTGTGTGTGCATGTGTGTGTGTGTGTTTCAGGTCTCTGTGAGGGAGCGTGCGGAACAAGGACTGCTCCCATGTTGCAAACCTTCCTCTGATGGCTTCGTTGTAATAGGTATCATCATTTGTTTTAAATTTGCTTCGGGTCATTCGTGTTCCCTTTTACTTCCAGATGACATTTGCATGACACAAGGATTTGAATGGCTCCTTTACGGCCAGGTCAAGAAACTAGAAGTGAGCAGAGATTTACCGTATTTCCTGGACTATAAGCCCTAAATTATTGAAGAAAATAATTAAGAAAAAAATAACTCATGTTATCATGTGAATTTGATTAATGTACAAAATTTTACATTTAATTAATGTTCATTAAACATTACAGCCAGATTATTTTATCAAAGGAAAACAACTCAACATCTTAAACTTTCATTTACTTCTTCTAGAAATGACAAAGTCAGCTGCTTTTTTTCACCATATCCATGATGCGTGATGAATATGAGTAATAACCAAGTACGCTATGACTAGTCACTAATTTGTCATCATGGAAACGGGGGTGACACAAAGAATGATTCATTCAAAATATTTATTATTATTACTTTATTTAGTTGTATTTTTAGTAAAAGGGGGAAAAAAAGCTGCAGAGCTACCTGATTGATGTAAATAGGTTCCAGCACACAGGGATCTGAGAGGTATAAATCTGAGAGGTAGCAGGTCCTGTACAGTTATATGTGTAGGCTACCAAAAACAGAAACTTTCCATCACTGACAACGTAGCATTCGCTGCTTTATGGATGTACAGTAACTATACTGGGGGTCCCTGGAGGACTAGTGGTTAGGCCTCAGCGCTCTCACCGCTGTGGCCCGGGTTCGGCTCCCGGGCCAGGCAAACCAGCCCCAGCCACTGGGGGGGTGTCTGTCTATCTATCTATCTAATAATAATCATTTTTATTATTAATTACAGAAGCATAAAATTATTAGTAGTAATAATAATTCGAGAAATTTATTACTACTACTACTAAGATGAACAAAATAAGTGACAATCGCAGGTGTGTTTGCCGACAACTATGATCATTGTTGAAGTGTGTGATTTCGATCCATGCACCTGGTTTCAGTGTTGACATTTAATATTTCAATATTATACAAATAAGCAGATGATAAGAACAACGTTATGCAAATACGTTTAGTGTAGTACAGGTTTCAGGTTTCCAAACTGTTCCAGGCTGTTTCAGACAAATGTTCGAAGCAAAGTGCTTCTAACAAAGAAGGCGCAACTAAGATTGGTCTTAGCTGTCCATTTGCGAGCTAAGCAACCTGTGTTATTTAGCAAACCTGCTATGCAGGAAGTGAGGGCATATTTCAGCAACGGCTTGACATATTGCCGGCAAATTTAGTGTACCTCCTTGGGCACAAGCGGTGATGGTCCTAATGGCTTCTGGCCTTCTTCTGTCGCTAAGAGGCAGGGCCAGAAAGTGCTTGGCCCCGTAATCGCCTGGCAGCTATTTTTAATAATTCTAATTATTGTTAATTCTAGAAGTTTTTTTTTTAATTAAATAGTACATCCATTAACAAGAGACAGAGAAAACATAATATTGTTAGTAATAACAGTAGCAGTGTGTGTGTGTGTGTGTGTGTGTGTGTTTGCCTATGTGGCGTGGAACAGTCTGTAGCATATCTGTGGCTGCCACACATGTTACTGTTGCATCCTGCATCCTGTTTCCACCAAGCCTGAAAAATCCAGTAACGAAAGTGTAAATCTAGAAACTAGAATATCCTAACCCTAATTTTGTCACCGTTTGACCATATGGGCTTATTAGATCAGAAAGCAATGCGAACAAAACAGGAAACAAAACATCCCACGCTAATGTTAATGATCCTCTGCATCGACAGGCTCTACATGGACATGCACACACACACACACACACACACTGCCATCGGCAAAGGTTTTCAGACATCTTTTATTAATATTTTTGGTTAAATTTCAAGCAGTGAGTTCATTTTAAATCCTCTGTGCAGGGTTTAGACTGTTTGAATCAAACCCTGGTGTGCTTGTGTAGGCGAGAGCACAGCAAGCACACTCAGGCGTGGACCAAAACAACCGGTCCGAGAGCGTCTGAGCGAGGTGGTCTCGGTCCACATCGTGGTCTCGGTAAAGTTTACGGCGATTCGGTTGCAGTGAGAAAGCAAATCGACTCTGAATCGACTCAACTGCAGGAACTGAATTGAACATGCAGTGTGCTTTGCCTTGTGGGCAAGTATTTTTGTAGATAATCTGTACCAAAGGACAGAGCTGTAGTGCAGTGAAAATGCCATGCATTCTAGATATTTGGACTAAAGAAAAAAAGAAAATAGACAGAAATTATTTTAATCTAATTATTTACATAATTATCTAATTTAGTGACCAATCCGTTTTGTCAATTATTACCATTAAAATCTGATAGCAGCCGGTTAGTAAGTCCTAAAAAAACAAAGATTAAGGTTGTTGTTGTTGTTTAATATTTAGTTGTTTAATTTTTTTCTTATTTAATTGCAATTTTGTAACCTTTTGTCTGTAGCATTATTAGTCATTAAACTGTAATAAAACATAGATACAGCAAAGAATGGGGTACAGAAGCAGTGTACAAGAGTGTATGGTAAATAGTGTCTATAAAAATGTCTGATGTTAATTTTGTGTATTAATATCTTTTTACCTGTGCTGTAAAATTATATGTTCAGCAAACAGATGCCCCTTGGTGGTAAATAATGATTATTTAATTTAATTCAATTCAGTTAATTGATTATTAACTAAATTAAATAAATTAAATTGAAAATGATTCACTTCAATTGAACAACTATAGCATATGAATTAAGGCTCGTTAGTATAAAATACATATTTTTGTGCATACATATTTTTGTGTAATATGCATATTTGTGGCCTGTTGGTTCTGCTACTTTCTGCCTAAAATATGTTTCAATAAATAATTAATCTTTGTGTGTGTGTGTGTTTGCAGGCTCTTTTGTAAATGGAATAGCAGAGGGACCAATCGACGAAGCGCTACGTGACATAGACGCCATGCGTCTCGTTGTTCATTCCAGTTCAGACGCCTGGGTCATCCTGAGTGAAGTGAGTCTCCTACACGCCTCCTACACGCTCTCACTGTCCTCTCCTATACAGTAGATCCACCAACCTGCAGAAAATATTCTGTAGAACAGAACGGAGAGCATGGCCAAGTTTGCTTTCTTGGATCCCAGCCACGGACGGTTGTGGCATCTTTAGGAAGCGTAAAAATTTAATCGCAGTTCTGCAATAAAAAATCCGGATCCTGTAGGCAATTCTAGATTCATATTATTCATGAAAATGTTCAATCTTTCTGTAGGTAAAATAAATTCCTTTAATTTTGTGAAACAGTGTAAAGGCTGACAAAAAAGTCAACAATCCACAAAACTGTCCCTACACTCCTCCCGTTCATTCTGAGATTAAAAGTGAATTATAAGTCCTTAATTTTATGAGGCCTTCATCTGACTGGCTCTCATTCCTGCTCATTTGAAGCAAAAGAACCAAATCACAGGTGAGCTGGAGTTACCTGGATGTCTTACAAGTGCTACTGATAATGTTGTGGTCTTTTCTCACACTATAACACTGCAGCAGGTTAGATACATCCTTTTAAATATTTATACTGACTTTATATAGCAAGGCAAAACAAGCGCCAGTGGTAGTAGTCTGATAAGTAGAATACAGCATCTGTGCTATTCACACTGATTAGCGTTCACTTCAAAATGTTTTTTTCAAAATGGTTTTACTGTGTAAAAGTAAACAATCGTTCTCACTGAATCCCATAGAGAAACTTGTCAACTGGTAATAACAGGTATAAAAGAAACACACGCAGTTAAAAATACAATAAAGCACAAATTAGTGCCACAATAAAAATGTTTTAAAAGTTCAGTACATATGCAATCCTTTTTTTTTTTGTGAATTAGCTAGCTTAGTCTCTAATTCCAAAGCCACTTCCAATTAACTATGTTTAAAAAAAAAAAACCCTGTCAGTACAGATTCACTTTATGGACATCACCACATAATCCAACTATTCAAATTTTAAGAACATTAGACTTATTTAAACGTGTGCAGTAACATGGTTGCTGTTTATTCAAGCCATAGGCCTTTTTATCAGAGCAAAAAGCCACTCGAGGGCGTGAGTTACAGTGATTTGATCACGTTTTAGGCACGACGTGAAGAGGAGTAAAACCCCCTTAGCTGCGCTGAAATCACTATAACTCACGTCCTCGAGCGGCTTTTATAAAACAGTGACAAAAACGTGATAAAATCCCGTGTTCAATAAATAATTAAATTTACTATTACTAATATTTTTAATAAACAATTCTTATATCAAGCAACATAGTATGGTAGCAGTAAGCTGAGGTTGCTAAGCAACAACATGGGCAAAGATTAGGGTGTTCTCTGTGTGGAATGTAATGGCTTAAGTGTAATAGATTTTTTCCTTTAAGGAATAACATGACAGAACATGCAGTATGGTGTGATGCATCAAGGCGTGAAGTGGAGTGCCATTACCACCCTGAAGTGTATTGTTTTCATATAATCACACGGTTTGGGGTGTGTTATTCCACTTATACCATAGCTACTTGCCAAAGATTACACTGTTTAATTTATGAATGAATGACACGGCGTGTATTTTAATGATTTAAATTTTAGATTTAATGTTGTGGAACATCCGGAAGACAAGTTAGTTCCAGTTATCACTTATATTATAGCATACATAATATTATACATTCTCTCTCTCTCTCTCTCTCTCTCTCTCTCAGCTTGTCATTTTATTAACAAAACAGAAAGTATAAACCTCTATGTCCTGAAGACTTCCCTGTGCTGGAAAACACTGTGACTGTTACAAAGCATTGACCTTCAAGACTCTTTCCATAAATTTTAAATAATTATCTCCTAACAGAAACGTAACCACATCAGTGATCATAGGTTTTACTTTGTTAAACGAGAAGTTTATTAAATCCAGCACATTAATTCCGAATTAAATTATTGTTTAATTAATCATGGTGTGTATATTGTGGTGTGAAGGTGTGTATAACGATTGTCATTCATTTCAAGTTGACATTGTTTATAGGCTTACTTGTTTTTGAGTTATTGAGGTTTGAACCAAACCAGTTCAATTAAAGTAATAATTCAAAAAATAATAAATAAATAAGAAAAATAATCATTTTAATAATGGTGGGGTGTGATTTCCACTACTGAAACAAAGTTTTTAAATTGCAAATTTCTCACTCTCTCTCTCTCTGTATCTATCTCTCTCTCTCTCTCTCTCTCTTGCTTTCTTTCTTCGACAGATCTTTATTCAAGTTTGATGGACTGTGAAGAGAGGGAAAAGCCGACATCACAGCAGCTCGTCTATCTCTGAGCAACAGCGCCCCGATGGTCAAAAAAAACTTTTCATCCTTCACTTTTCTGATGTTTGGATTGTTACTGTGTGCTTTGTGTTAGAACCTACACAACAGAGTGACATCACCCGAGGAAGACTGAGGAAGACTCCATCAATTTCTCAACTTTTGACTCTGGCAAATAATTAGAGCAGAAAGTTGATGTGATGTGATGTGAACACTTGAGTCTTTTCATTTGTCACACTGACATTCAACCTACATTTGCACAAGCAGAGGATGATATTTAGGTATATATTCTATTTTTTGGTACATAAAAAGATTTTGCTTATTGTGGAGATGTTTTACATGGATATTGATCAGAATAATGCTCCAAGCCCAAGTCGTTACATTACAGTTCTTACTGTATTCACTGACACTGAATACATCAACCAGTCAAAATCTCGAATCTTTTTCTTATTCATCAAAGTTTTGTAGAAATGAGTGCGAACTTGAGCGCACGGAATGACGTGTG